AGGTAGGACAGAAAGTGACTTCTATACTTTTAAAATTTGCCCAAAATTTAGGAGGTCTTTAGACCGAGCCAACTATACAATGTTCCAATTGCGCAACACTGTATGTATGTAACACAAAGATCTACTAAAATGTAAATGATAATTTCTAGGATTGTATAACCAATCATCTTTCGAATTCGCAATACAATATGCCAAACTCCAGACATAAATAATAATAATAAATAAATGAAGAATATTTTCATTGCTGCATAAGTTATATTTTTATGCTGATCAAATTTTAAATTATACACTTTCGTTAATTAATTAAATACATTACATGCCTTTAAACTACGTAAACATTTGCATTGCACTCTACGACTACACAGCTCAGAATGATGACGAGCTCTCGTTTGAGGAAGATAATGTTTTATATATTTTGGAAAACGACGATGAAGAGTGGTGGAAGGCAAAACTAAAGATCAACGGTGATGAAGCTGATAATGGCCCAATCGGTCTAGTGCCTGGAAATTATCTTCAGGAGGTCTGTCATTTAAAACCGTGGGTTAATTTGATTAAAAAAAATATATAGATCGAAGCAACTACGGCAGCATCTTCTTTTTGCCACCCAAAATCTGTTTTTTGGAAACAAATTAATCTCTCTTTTTCTTTTTCTATTATTTAGGCGGAACACATGGATACGCTGAAAGCTCTTTTTGATTATGAAGCAAAGAATGACGACGAGTTAACCTTTAAAGAAAACGACTTGATGTATTTGTATGAGAGAGACGATGATTGGTTTTTGGTTAAATTGGGTGACTCTTTCGGTTACGTTCCTAATAATTATGTAGAGGTTAGTATATCTTTTAAAATTTCCCTTTCTCTTTCCTTACACATATGCTTATAGATATTTAATTTTTATAAAGATAAAAGATGAACAAGGTGAACAAGGTGAACAAGATGTTAATTATGAGGAAGAGAAAGAGAATGATAAAAGAGTGGCTAAACCAAAATTTTTATTAAATGGATTCTCGGTATTTATTACTAAAATAATGACAATCATAATAAATGAATTTTAATCATAACTGTAATTATAATCAAGAAATCAAACAACCTCTTTTAGAATACATCAGATAGCACTAAATATGTTGATCCATTAAAAATATATGCTCAACAAAATGTTCATAAAAAATCTGGTTTATCTTCAGATGTAAAAACTTGGCAAGTCACATTGATAACGGTAATTTACATAAAGTTTTTAATAATATTTCCAAAGTTAACCTTGAAACAATATCTTCATATTATTTAAGTTGGTGCAGAATATTAATTACTTTGAAAAATTTAGAAAAATGATAAGAAGAAAGAAAAAAAGAAGGGAACGATCGTTGTTGGGGATGGTAAGATTGTATATGCTAGTCAATCAGATAAGGTATATCGGTGTTTATTTATTTAATTTATGCGATAAATATATTATTTATTTATTTTAACTATATATATATATATATATATATATATATATATGTATATACATATATTTTTTTTTTTAAAATAAAAAAAGGCACCAGTACAAGTTTTCAACATCACAGATATTATTGACATCAAACATGAGAAGAAACATATCATAATTCAATTTGGCGGAGCAAAGACGACAACATTTGATTTCCAATCAAATAAACACTCTGAAATATTCCAGAAGATCAAAGATTGTCGCACTAGCTTGGAAATACCAACCGTTAAACCACCAATAACTATCAGTACAGATGTCGAGAAGGAGGAAGAGGAGGAGGAAGAAGAAGAATATGAACAAGAAGAACAATACGAGGAAGACGAGGAAGAAGAACAAGTAGTAGAACCGCAACGCGAATTACCGGCACCGAAACGAGGAGTTGCTTTATATGATTTCAAAGCACAAGGTGATGATGAAATATCAATTCGTGAAGGTGATAAGTTATGGATTATTGGTTGCTTCATTAAATTTATTTCTTTTAAATTAATGTATTGCTCAAGGGCATTAACTACCACATCTGAAACTATAATGGCAATACCAAAATCTTCGTCTGTTTTAATTAGTTCTAACCAGCCGCAAAAAAAAGGTGTGAAGAAAACTCACAATCAACTATAATGTGGAGGGAAAGCTAGAGATTATTATAATTTTAATATGTGAACATGATGAGTTTTCTAAGTGTAAAGTTTGTTCCAATAATCGAAAAGGGAAAATGTTTAAACATAATAACTCTACAAGTAACCTTTTGCATAATAATTTTCAAATAAAAAAATTTATATAATTAGTTCGAATCGTTGATTATTTTGAATCGAATCATCATCGAATATTCGAATCTTCATACGTAAGCTCTACTAAAATTGTTAAAATTGAAGAATTGTTCTAAACGCATAATTCAATAACAGATAGCTAATTTAATTTCCAACTATGTTGACTAATTTTGTTAACAGCTAAAATCACAAAAAAAAATTTTCCTTACAATGTATTGACTGAAATAAATAATGATAGGTTTTCTAGGTTTTAGGATGATTGTTATTCAAAAAAAATTACTAAAACCTTGTGGGAACTAAATTTTCATTATTGTTTCCAAAGCATGTAGTTTACTATTAATGATGATGTCTATATTTTTCAGCAAATACATTTATCAGAAGGTCGGAAATAGTTTATTGTGATCCATGATTTTTTATTGTTTATAATATAATAATTATAAGGAAGATGTTACGTTTTTGTTTCGGTGATATAGAATTAGGAAAACAAATTGGGTGAGCAAAAAGATTTTTCTCTTTTTAAAAGAGTATAATTAAAATTAAGAAGTTGTCAATGTTTTAATATTATTTTTTCTATTCGATGGCAAAAAATCATAATTTTTTTTTTGGAAATATATTATTAATCAATGTCATAATAAGTTATTTGGCTTGTGAACCGGCTCATTCAGAGCCTTAATTTCGCCTCCTTTTCTTCATGACTTGGAGTTCAATTTAGAATACGACATCGAACATTGGAAATTTTTTAATGAAGGATTTAAAGTATTTGGACACACCTATGAGTTAATAATATTTCCTTGAGTATCAATTGTTATATACTGACATGTCTGGCATCCCAGAAATTTGTCTGTTGTTCCATCTCCAATTGGAAGTATATGTATACACGTCCAGAAGCAACAATTTGCTCGTTCTATCTCAATGATTCTATACGAGCAGTATATATACTCATTGATTTAATCTTTTATGAACTCAATATCTAGTATCGCCGTTACTCAATTCAACAGCTAACTGATTTCCAAGGAAGACCGGAAATATATCTATTTCTATATCTGTATTATTTTGGAAAGTCATCTAACCTCTCCCATATTTGCACTCACAAATTAACATCCTACTACGATTTGCTCATTCTATGTCAAAGGTTCGATGTGAACAGTATGCCTACTCATTGATCTAATCTTTTATGTACTCAGTATGTACCATATTTGGTATTGCTATTATTCCATTAATCGATCTCCAAAGAAAACTGAAAATATATTTTCAATTTGTTATTCTACTATTATTATTATCATCAGTATTATTAGGAAGTCGCACTCACAAATTAACATCTTGATCTGATCCTAATATCATTCTTCCAGATACTAACATTACTACATCCAAAAGCACATTCTATGTCAAAGGCTTTACACAAGCAGTATGTCCACTCATTGACCTAATCTTTTATGCATTAACTAATATGTCCCGTATTTGAGTATTATTATAATCATTATTATTAGGAAGTTGTCTAACTTCTCCTGTATTTGCATTCCACAAATTAACACCTTGATCCGATCCAATAACTATCATAGTTTTATTACTCGATCTAACAAACTCAATAATTATTTTATTCTTGAACTTATTTGGAACTTTTACAAGATGGTTTTTGAAAGACGAGCGATGGCCTTTTTTTATAAATAAATCTTATATTTGTTGTTTGATGACATTGCTCTTCAATCCCAAATACATTTTTTCGATAATTAACCCAGATGCATAATGCATACACTAATTTCTTTTGATATTCTAATCTTGGATTATTCAAATAGTGTTGTGCTCGTTGCAGTTATTGCCCCTCCTCGATTCTTGCATTAAAATAATTGATCACTTATAATAAATATCATTTGGAATAAATCGGATGAACTTTAATGTTTATTCCCTTTGTTAATTATTCAAATTCAAATATCATCATCGATAATTTTTTTTTGATGCAACGTTGTAGGGCCGCTGTAATGATTTACAATGTGGTTAGGAGATCTTTATTAAATTGTTATGTATTATTGCTATAATAGGAAATTAAAAAGATAAAATCACACTATAATACTTAATATTAATATTAATACAAACCTTTTAAACCGTTTCTTATTAATAATTAAAGGTCATGTAAAAGCGTTATGTTTATTTATCAGCGATATTACTATTATTATATCATGAACAATTACTATTATTGTGGGCGCAAAATGACTAATTACTATTAATATTAAATGTATAGAAAAATTTCCAAAAGCGATAGATTTTTCGAAAAAACCAGAAACCCAAGAGTTTATTTGAATATGAATTAACTTTGCTAATAATAGCTCAAGAGGTTCACCACAGGGTATTTTGTTAAATCTTAAAAATTTTCAATGCCATTTTATTTTATTAAAATCAATCGAGTAAAATTGGCTAATGACTATATTCATAAACAAGCGTTTTGCATTCAATACAAAAAGTTTGCTCAAGAAGGCTTGTAATAAAATCATTTAATAGGTTCGTGAGACTAAAAGAAAGGCAAAACTCGCAAATATATTTATTTTCCAAATATGGACTTTTTTAATTAACACAAAAGTCCCCGAATAGTGACATAAAATAACAAACAATATTAATATTAATAATAAGCTCTGTCCTGGGATTGATATTAATTAATATTTGGACACTTTCTTTTTAGGAAACCCCTTATTACGTATCGTATACTATATTAGTATATGAAATAAATTTTTTTTAGCCAAAATTACACATGAATTTCTGAAATTTTGTCCAAAAGTACGTGAACATTTTGTGTACGTATGGGGATGTCATGATTATTCATTTTTTTGTACCACTAAAGTTTATTCTTTGTTTTGTTGTTTTATTAACAGCACGCCGCCCCCATATATTAAAAATTTAAAAAATTTTCATCTTTTTGTTTTTCTATTATTCCAAAAGAAAATATAACAAATGTCAAATAATACAGAGGAATCCCGATCAGCAGAACACCATAAAAATAAAGGAAACAATTTTTTTAAAAGAAATGATTATGATAATGCGATAAGAGAATATACAGCAGCTATTAAACAAAATCCAAGGAATCCTGTATATTATACTAATCGTGCACTTTGCTACCTTAAATTGAAAAAGTATGATAATGTAATATTAGATTGCGAAACCGCTCTCGAAAAAGATGCCAATTCAGTCAAAGGACATTACATGTTAGGTCAAGCTTTAACAGAAAAAAAAGATTTTGAATTAGCTATTGTACACCTACGGAAAGCTTATCAACTAGCAATTGAGGGTAAAGTGGGAGGTTTTTTAAGCGAAATCCTTCAAGTTCTATTGAATGCTAGAAAAAGAAGATGGGAACAACAGGAGAAAGAACGTATACAAAAAGAATCTGAATTATTAAAATACCTAAAAACTTTGATTATCTCTGATAGGGATAGACAACTACAGAAAGCTACACCGAAAAATATTTCTACCTTTTCAAAATTTGTTGGAAATTATTCACAAGATGTCCAAGATAAATTGGATCATATATATAAATCGTATGATGAGAAACTTTCTCAAATAGAACAAGTGTTTGCACAATCTGACGAAAATCTTAGACCGAGACAAGTTCCTGATTATTTTCTGGATAAAATATCGTTTAATATTATGCATGATCCGGTGGTCACTTCCTCAGGAATTACTTATGAAAGGGCACATTTAAAAGAACATTTTAAAAAAATAGGATATTTTGATCCTCTTTCAAGAGAACATTGCACTGAAGATAAATTGTATCCAAATTTAGCATTAAAAGAAGCAATAGAAGATTTCTTAAATAAAAATGGTTGGGCTGCTGATTATTAATTAAAATGCTTGTTGTTTGTTGTTTATTAATTAATTGTTTTTACAATGACAATGTCCATGACGACGAAGATATTATTAGGAGAAGGTTTTTATTATGATTGATTGATTGGGTTGATTAGTAGTTATTTTAAATGAAAGCAACCATAAAATCTTCATACATACATACATTTATATAAAATATATTTTTTTTTTTTATAGGTAATTAATAATTAATTATTTTTTCCCTCTTTCCCCCTCTTTATTTTGTGAGATTTAATAGTTAGATATGATGATAATAACAATAAATGCGCATATTATTATATTTAATTTATTTCCGCATTCGATGTTTTTTTAAAGATCATTCATTCATTCATTAAATGTTGTTTTTTTGAATTGTGTATATAATAAATAAATTTTTAAATGATAATAATAATTCAAATTTAAATACAATAATAATAAATAAATAAATAAGTAAATAAATAAATAAATAAATAAATAAATAATGGATAATCATCTATCTTATATGAAATCTACCACTAATAATAATAAAAAGAATTTAATATTTAGTAAAAATCCTAAAAATTCAATCTCAAAAAACTATTAATTTTATATTCTTACCCTTTTGGCATAATTTTGTTGAAATTGTTGTTGTTGCTGTTGTTGCTGCTGTTGCTGCTGTTGAAGTTGAAGTTGCTGTTGCTGTCGAAGTTGCTGCTGTTGAAGTTGAAGTTGCTGTTGCTGTTGTTGCAATAATAATTGTTGATTTTGTTGTTGTAATTGGTTTGGCTGTGATATACCAAAACCTGCATTATTTATACCAAAACCTGCATTATTTACACCAACACCTGGTATATTACAATATAATAATATTGTTAATATAAAGGAAACAATAATGTTTTTTATTAATCAAAATTTTACCTTGTTGATTTATGTTTTGTGATGTATTATTAAAAACACTTTGAGAATTAGGATCGATTTGTCTGAAAATAGCATATTTATCATCCGAAGCTATTGTTACATGTATAAAAATATTTAATTTCATTTTCACACATTAATAAATAGAATAAACAAAAAAATAATCTTACAATTAGTGCTCGCCATGTTAGTTGAAGCCCCAGGGCCAATTTGGCCTTTTCTCATTGATGCAAAAACGTTTTGTGGATCAAATTGTGTGACTTGTTGTTGTTGATTTGGAAATTGTTGGATTTGATTTAGAGAAGAAGATTGTTGGCCATATGGATTAATGCTTAATGATGAGGGGTTTGAAGATTGAAATTGATTATTAAATTGACTTTGGGAAGGAGATAGTTGGCTATACGGATTAATGTTTAATGAGGAGTTTGAAGATTGAAACTGATTAAATTGATTTAGAGTAGAAGATTGTTGTCCATACGGATTAACGTTTAATGACGGCGATGGTGTTTTGATTGGTGTTAGGGGTGCTTGGAGAATTGAGTTCATAGGAACAAGCATTCGTGGTGCTGGTGGTGGTGGTGGCGGCGGTGGTGCTGGTGTTGATACTGGAAGAGGTGGTGGCGGCGGCGGTGGCGGCGGCGGTGTCGGCGTATTATCCCTTGATATTAATGATACTGTTGTTGCTGAATTCTTCACTGGAGTTGGAGCAAAAAGCTTTGATGAATTATTGTTAACCCATGCATCATCATCAAATGTATTTTCTATGATTGATGATTTTGATTTCATTGAAGTTGATGACGCTGTGACTGATCCTGATGGTTTAAATGCTGCTTCAATTTTATCTTTTGATGTTTGTAGACTTAAAGCATCAACTTGAATTGAGGCGGACTTGGTAGGCTGTGGCCGAGTTTTCTTTGTATTATTTTTCAGTACTCCATTATCAGCCGTGAACAATTGTGATGTAGATTGTGATGCTGGTTTTTTTTCTTCTCGTTGTATAATTGAATCCAAATTAGAATATGGGTCTGCATCTTTGGGAATTGGTCGTCCTTCTCTCCTTGCTATTCTGTTCTCTTCTTCTTGAAGTTCTCTAGCCAATTGTTCATCACGTTTCAACTGCATTTTACGATCAAATTCTGACATATGCTTTGGCTTTTCAATTTCTTCAGACTACCAATAATGCCAAAAAGTAAATAATTAATATTATATTACATTATATTTTATAATATTGAATTTATGTATTCTATCATATATACATACTTTAGTCGCTTTAGAATATTTATCATCATTATCTTGAATAATAATACTTGTATCTCCAAAACTAACATTTTTTTTTATTTTATCAGAATATTTTTGTTCCCTACTATTATTATTGGTTAATGCCGACTTGTTTTTATGCGCAGCAGCTATTGTTGCTAATGGTGTATCATCACTATTATCATCCAATTTTTCGCCAGTCACCTCCTCAATATAAACAAGATCTCGTTTACTCATCTTGTCAAGTGGTACTGCTATTTTGTTACCATTAAGTTTGTGAAGATATACTTTCCCATCATCAACATTTAATAATTCCGCTTCTACTTTAAATGTTCCTGTTCTATCAGTCCAAGTTCTAGTATTTGATGGAATAGGCTCTAAAGAATTGAAAAAGACAAAGCATTATATAAATTTAAATTTAAAAATAAAAATAAATAAACATGACGATCATTGAATACTGACTGGATTTAGATTGTGCTTGAGCTGGTCTTTCAGGTAATGCACGATTTGTTGGAGTTTGTATTTTCTTTATAACATCCTCCTCTTCTTTATAATTAATTTTTTTTAAAAAAAAGATTAAAATCTAATAAAAGTGTTATAATGTTAAAATTATAGCTGATTTAATTAGTATATACCTGAAGCAGTCTTGGAACGAGCGGATGGTCGTGCTATTTATAAATAAATTTGTACGGAAATTGTTATTTTTCAATAAGGCAATTAAAGTAATCAAATTTTAATGGGCATAACAAATAAATTAATTGGTCATTACTAGGTAAGGCAGGAGGAGGAGTGGGTGGTTTTTGTAAAGCTTTTCTCTGATTTTCTTGTTCCCTAAGCCTTTTTTCTTCTAGTTGTCTGATTCTTTCTTTTTTCCTGGCATGTTCCTCTTCTTCCTCTTCTTCTGCTATTCTCCTACGTTCTTCTTCTTCAAAAGCAGCAGCAGCAGCAACAGCAGCAGCAGCAGCAGCATCTTCATCATCATCATCATTATCATTGTCATCATCATCGTGATTCTCTGGTAAAATCTTTTGAAGGAGTTTTTTGTTATTAACTCAACTTGTATCAAAAGCAATAATAATAATTTGATTCTTAAAAAAATCCTTACCTTGATATATGAAGATGGAACAACACCTTCTTCTTCACCTTTTCTGCATCTCCACCAATCATCGCTACTGACATCATCAATAATCCATAACTTATCACCTTCACGAATTGATATTTCATCATCACCTTGTGCTTTGAAATCATATAAAGCAACTCCTCGTTTCGGTGCCGGTAATTCGCGTTGCGGTTCTACTACTTGTTCTTCTTCCTCGTCTTCCTCGTATTGTTCTTCTTGTTCATATTCTTCTTCTTCCTCCTCCTCTTCCTCCTTCTCGACATCTGTACTGATAGTTATTGGTGGTTTAACGGTTGGTATTTCCAAGCTAGTGCGACAATCTTTGATCTTCTGGAATATTTCAGAGTGTTTATTTGATTGGAAATCAAATGTTGTCGTCTTTGCTCCGCCAAATTGAATTATGATATGTTTCTTCTCATGTTTGATGTCAATAATATCTGTGATGTTGAAAACTTGTACTGGTGCCTTTTTTTATTTTAAAAAAAAAAATATATGTATATACATATATATATATATATATATATATATATATATAGTTAAAATAAATAAATAATATATTTATCGCATAAATTAAATAAATAAACACCGATATACCTTATCTGATTGACTAGCATATACAATCTTACCATCCCCAACAACGATCGTTCCCTTCTTTTTTTCTTTCTTCTTATCATTTTTCTAAATTTTTCAAAGTAATTAATATTCTGCACCAACTTAAATAATATGAAGATATTGTTTCAAGGTTAACTTTGGAAATATTATTAAAAACTTTATGTAAATTACCGTTATCAATGTGACTTGCCAAGTTTTTACATCTGAAGATAAACCAGATTTTTTATGAACATTTTGTTGAGCATATATTTTTAATGGATCAACATATTTAGTGCTATCTGATGTATTCTAAAAGAGGTTGTTTGATTTCTTGATTATAATTACAGTTATGATTAAAATTCATTTATTATGATTGTCATTATTTTAGTAATAAATACCGAGAATCCATTTAATAAAAATTTTGGTTTAGCCACTCTTTTATCATTCTCTTTCTCTTCCTCATAATTAACATCTTGTTCACCTTGTTCACCTTGTTCATCTTTTATCTTTATAAAAATTAAATATCTATAAGCATATGTGTAAGGAAAGAGAAAGGGAAATTTTAAAAGATATACTAACCTCTACATAATTATTAGGAACGTAACCGAAAGAGTCACCCAATTTAACCAAAAACCAATCATCGTCTCTCTCATACAAATACATCAAGTCGTTTTCTTTAAAGGTTAACTCGTCGTCATTCTTTGCTTCATAATCAAAAAGAGCTTTCAGCGTATCCATGTGTTCCGCCTAAATAATAGAAAAAGAAAAAGAGAGATTAATTTGTTTCCAAAAAACAGATTTTGGGTGGCAAAAAGAAGATGCTGCCGTAGTTGCTTCGATCTATATATTTTTTTTAATCAAATTAACCCACGGTTTTAAATGACAGACCTCCTGAAGATAATTTCCAGGCACTAGACCGATTGGGCCATTATCAGCTTCATCACCGTTGATCTTTAGTTTTGCCTTCCACCACTCTTCATCGTCGTTTTCCAAAATATATAAAACATTATCTTCCTCAAACGAGAGCTCGTCATCATTCTGAGCTGTGTAGTCGTAGAGTGCAATGCAAATGTTTACGTAGTTTAAAGGCATGTAATGTATTTAATTAATTAACGAAAGTGTATAATTTAAAATTTGATCAGCATAAAAATATAACTTATGCAGCAATGAAAATATTCTTCATTTATTTATTATTATTATTTATGTCTGGAGTTTGGCATATTGTATTGCGAATTCGAAAGATGATTGGTTATACAATCCTAGAAATTATCATTTACATTTTAGTAGATCTTTGTGTTACATACATACAGTGTTGCGCAATTGGAACATTGTATAGTTGGCTCGGTCTAAAGACCTCCTAAATTTTGGGCAAATTTTAAAAGTATAGAAGTCACTTTCTGTCCTACCTTTTAAAAAATAGCTCTATTAGTTGATAGAATATGTCTTTAGTTTTAATGTAATAGAGTGTGTTCCGCCTAAATAATAGAAAAAGAAAAAGAGAGATTAATTTGTTTCCAAAAAACAGATTTTGGGTGGCAAAAAGAAGATGCTGCCGTAGTTGCTTCGATCTATATATTTTTTTTAATCAAATTAACCCACGGTTTTAAATGACAGACCTCCTGAAGATAATTTCCAGGCACTAGACCGATTGGGCCATTATCAGCTTCATCACCGTTGATCTTTAGTTTTGCCTTCCACCACTCTTCATCGTCGTTTTCCAAAATATATAAAACATTATCTTCCTCAAACGAGAGCTCGTCATCATTCTGAGCTGTGTAGTCGTAGAGTGCAATGCAAATGTTTACGTAGTTTAAAGGCATGTAATGTATTTAATTAATTAACGAAAGTGTATAATTTAAAATTTGATCAGCATAAAAATATAACTTATGCAGCAATGAAAATATTCTTCATTTATTTATTATTATTATTTATGTCTGGAGTTTGGCATATTGTATTGCGAATTCGAAAGATGATTGGTTATACAATCCTAGAAATTATCATTTACATTTTAGTAGATCTTTGTGTTACATACATACAGTGTTGCGCAATTGGAACATTGTATAGTTGGCTCGGTCTAAAGACCTCCTAAATTTTGGGCAAATTTTAAAAGTATAGAAGTCACTTTCTGTCCTACCTTTTAAAATAATAGTTCTATTAGTTGATAGAATATGTCTTTAGTTTTAATGTAATAGAGAGATTTTCTCAAAAAAATCATTTGTTGTAGAGTTCTATTCTTTTTTTAAAACATGTGCTTTACTATGCTCGCGAGGAATTTGTCCACTAAGATCATTTCTAAATTTAGAAAATTATTATTAAATTTAGACTAGCTCTTGACCTACAGTGCGGATCATCTATACTCAAAAGTTAAAATTTTTGAAATATTATGTGATCCACACATCGGATTTTAAAAAA